AACTCATTCCTAGTGGGCAGCAGTGACGTCATCAGCAGCTGAGCAAACTGACTACATTTAGTCGTGCGTGTGTATGTGGGCATTTTTTTTTCCTGTGACTAACATGAAGCTAACAGCATCTAATAAAACAAAAGCTCCTTCAAAGTTGGGGAACTTAGTGGGTGAACTCTTTTCTACAGGGAGCACCATTTTAATTATTCTCATTTCATAGCTAAATGATGTTGGAGTTGGCCAAAATAACACTGTTGGCTTTCCAACCCCGTTTCGTTAAAGGGATCACAAACGAAACCCTGGTCTTTGGGAAAGATGGTTTCTAGATTTGTTCTTTTTTTTCCTTCCTTCCTTCCTTCCTTTCTTCCTTCCTTCCTTCCTTCCTTCCTTCCTTCCTTCCTTCCTTCCCTCTCTCTCTCTCTCTCTCTCTTTCCAGAATTGCTTTTCCTTTAATCATCATTCTATCCCATCCTCCTAGAGGAGTTTGGTGAGTCTTATAAAAAGGGACTGTGGCCATAAGTTGATTTTTTGTGAGTTATAGAATTTAGTGACTCCAGTTACACTCTACAGGAATATTGTGCTTACTTACCATTTGCTTTTTTTAAAAAAAAGATTTATTTCATACATTTGAAAGACAGAGTTACAGAGAGAGGTAGAGCCAGAGAGAGAGAAAGAGAGAGAGAGAGAGAGAGAGAGAGAGAGAGAGAGAGATCTGCTGGTTCACTCCCCAAATGACTGCAATGCCCAGAGCTGAGCTGAGCTGAGCTGAAGCCAGGAGCCAGGAGCCAGGAGCCAGGAGCCAGGAGCCAGGAGCCAGGAGCCAGGAGCCAGGAGCTTCTTCCAGGTCTCCCATGCAGGGGCAGGGGCCTGAGGACTTGGGCCATCTTCCACTGCTTTCCTAGGCCATAACAAAGAGCTGGATCTGAAGTGGAGCAGCCAGATCTCAAACCGGCACCCATATGGGATGCTGGCGCTGCAGACCAGGGCTTTAGCCTGATGCACCACAGCTCTGGCCCCACCATTTGTTTTTCCAAGCTGATAAAGATTGACAGAAGTCTTGCTTGCAAAGTTCCCCTTCCTAAAATTAGAATGGGACACCTGGAAATATTTACTAAGCACACTGGGCACTGCCAGAGCGCACTATCAATGGACAGGGGAGGCCACTGTGCCCATGGACAGTGGCCCATGGGTCATGCCAGCTCTGCTGTGCTTTGGAGCTGCTCCTACTGAGGGGTAGAACCTTTGGACTCTTTCTATCAGGACATGAGGGAGGCAGCAATTCACTGATAAAAAAAAAAATACACATAAGACTGCCCCCAGCCTTGATTGTGGCATTTCCTCTCTGAGGCTACAATTTGGGAACAGGTGGTAGGAGTATCTTTGGTGCTAGGCAAAGCTGCATTAGAATCGAGATTTCTGCTGTCTTATCAGTCCAATGGAATCTGTATGCTGTCCTCTGTCCTCACATCAGCACCATGGAACTTATCACCCAAGGGAACCCAGGTGAGAAAAATGGTTATGCTATGTGTTCTATGTTCTTTGGGGAGTCCTTTCCCATAATCTCCTGGGGCAATAGAAAGATCAATTCCTGTAGCAGATGTTTCCTGATTGGGTTAAAAACTGTGTTTTGATGAACGATTTAGAAACATATATTGGTCAGGAAGAACTTTAAGGGCATATTTATTTATTTTGAGTTAGCATTCTTTTATTATTTCGCAGTACACACGGGGTCATTTAAAAGTTCATGGAAAAAGCGTATTATGCATGGACTACACATGGATTTAAATTTTTTGTGCCAAAAATAGACTTATCTTTCCATTTTTCCACAGAGCTTTTAAGTACCTTCGTATGCTTTTCTGTAGAGGTTGTAAAAGATTATTTCTGTTAATATTGAGTCTTTACATGCACTAACTGGTTCCTTATTGGGAAGAAATCCAGGCATATCTGAATTATTTGGAAACTGATTGAGGTCTTTGGTTCTAAAATGACCATTTACCTGGGGATACTGTGATTCATGTCATTTAGAAGATGACATGGCATGGGGGTGGTGAGATATTTCCCTCCCAGCTGCCTCAGTCTTCAGAGGTTCTCTAACCTAACTTCTCCTTCCTGATGACCCACGTCACCAAGAGGCTAAGTCATAAACCTGGGAAGTTGGCCTCCACCATCTGGCCAGTGGCGTTCGTCGGCTAAGCCAGTTTGAGCCAAGCAGCTTCCCTTTTGCGAGTTTCACTAACATTTGTTGATTATGACTATTATTTTCTGTGATATAAAGTCCTTCACAATAGTTTTCCCAGTTTTCGCGAGAGAGAAACACCTGTAGGGGCATGGCCTTCCTTTCACAGCCATACCACTTCCTCTTTAAAAGGAAATTTAGAAAGGATAACATTGCTTGGAACCAGCTTTAGGATTTAGCAAAGCACTCTGTTTTATCTCTTCAGATATTGATTGTGTGTCATTCCCCTAAGGTATTAAACAAATAAAATCAGGCCACATCATATTCGTTGGTTGGGAGAACCCACAGTCATCTCACTTTTGTGAATTTCACTTCAGGGAATTCTCTGCTACATGGATTTATCTGATACTGAATTGCTAAAATGAACAACTCAATTCTTAATTCATTTACTCTCTTTTCATGAGTATTTGCCTCCTAACAACTTGGGCATTGGCCAGCTCACCCCTTCCTCCCCCACCCCCTTTTTTTTTGCTGGTCACCAAGATTCTACTTTTAGGTAGAACAAAAAGCTAGCAGGTAACATATGGAGGCCATACTGGGTAGATGGTTGCAACAAAGATGTCACCCAGGGGACCTCTTCCTGGGCCAGGTAATCTGGCATGGATCTCCAGTAATGAGGACAAACAAGTTGCATAAGGAAGCAGAATTATTCAATAATTAATATTTTTCTAGTTTCTAAGTCCCCTTGAAGCATGGATAAAAAGGCACTTGAGTGAAACTTTAAAATTGCAACTCTAAATCAGGGTTTCTCAATTGCAGAACAATGAACATCTGGGGCCAGATCATTGCTCTGCTGGGGGATGGGCCCATACCCTGCAGGGTGTTTAGTAGCATCCCTGCCCTCTACCCACTGGGTACCAGTGGTACCTCCCTCCCAGCTGTGACAACCGAAAACGTCTTCAAACCTTGCCCAATGTCCCCGGAGAAAAAAAGTCACCCTAGTACAGAACCACTTTTCTAGAAGGGAGAATAACAGTTTATTTACTGGGTTTTATTTTTTTTCTTCTTCCCCTAATTGTTTTAGTTCTAGCATCTGGGTTTCCTCGGTTCAGACAATGGCATTTCCAAATACTCTGAAAACAGAGCGCCCTTACATAGTACAAGGCCTTGTGGGATAATCTGGTGGTTCTGAGAGCAATGTGAAGCTTCGGGCTGGAGTTCTGGGTTAACTCTTTCTGACCCCGTTGTCCTCAACGCATTGTTGGAGGAGTGTTAACGTCTCCCTCTCCCTGTCTGTTCAGAACTGGTCCTCCATGGATTTCATGGTCCTGCTCTGTCCCACACCTTCCTACCTAACAGGCTGCCCATGCCTGTCCAGGAGCCAGCAGGACCAGCCAGTGCCGTCCCTGTTCACCCCTTTTGATGAGAACTTCCGGCAGGGTCTCAGCACTCCCACTGCAGCAAATATCACTCTGGGTCCTGCCCACGTTCTCTGGATCCCCAGCGCCTGTTGAGGGAGTCACCACTCCCCCATGGGGCCAGGTTTTCCTGCCTGAGCCCAGAATAGCACGTGAACTGCTCAGAACACCTCCCAAGTCCTTTTGATTCCTCTCCATAGTCACGTTTTATGTTCCATTCCCCAGTCGGGGTGAACCAGAAATCGTGCTTTTTTGGAAACAATTTTTAAAAAAAATTTTTTTCATAGGAAGGAAGCCTTGTCCTGAAGCTCCAGCCTTGTGTCACAGTGAGCTGAATCAGAGGACAGCGACCCAGTCACCTGCTGGGGGTGAGGGTGAGAGTGGGGGCAGACTTCCTGGCTGGGGTTTTTGACAGAATCCCAGCAATCCCTGAGCAGCAGCTAAAAAAAAAAAAAAAAAAAAAAAAAAACGGAGCCATGAAAAATGGCCCCTTTTCTAGCCTGCCTCCTTGTTCCAGGAGTAGTGAGGAAAGAGACCAGTTAATAGCCTGGATGAAAGCCGAAGGACATACGGTTTGCTTGAAAAGAAAAGTGAACATTCTTGCTTCCTGATCGCTGCCAACTTTGTACGGGGCCAGCTGCTGTGCGGGTAAACACCACTACGGTATAGGGCTAGCGGTGCCCTAACGTGGGTGCCACCGCAAGCCACGGGGCCGCGCACCAGCCCTGCTCTCTGGCCCTTTCGCACCATCGAGCTCTTATCCTCAAACGAACTTTGTTTTTTGACCAGCTCCCTAATTGTGATTGAAAACACCAGCTCCCCAGCAATGCACTAGCATTGGAGTTAGCAGCAGCAAGTACAGGCCCTAATTGCTCCATTTACATAAAAGTAGAAACATACAACTTCTAAATATAAATCTCTGGCACATCGTTCCTTTTGCAATTACAGTAAAAGAAGGTACCACAGGCTCCCCCCGCCCCCCCTCCAGGCTCCTGCTCGCCGCAAGCTGCTCCACCGGGTTCGCTAGTGGCTGCTCCTCCAGGCGCACAGAGCCCTGCAAAGGCTCCAGCCTGGAGTTGGAGCTGCGTGAAGTAGCCAGTAAATCAGGCCGCCCCCGCTAGGTGAATACCGCGGTGGCAGCGGGCCACTCCGCCAGTGCAGTAGCTGCTGGGGCCCAACTCCACGATTCGAGAGGGGGCAGCTGGCGGGTGCGGGGCGGGAGCGCTCCCCGGCTCGCCTCTGTCCGCGGGGGAGCCCGCCGGCCCCACTGCAGGTCCCAGTCCCTGACAGTTGCTGTGGTTTCAGTCCCTGGCACCGAGGGCTGGGATCAGAGATTCCCAGCGGCACTCACTGAACACTGATTTTTTTTTTTCCCCTCTCTGAATTCTTTAGCTGCCAAAAGGGGGGAAAAATCAAGAGCTGCTCTTAAAAGAAGTTGCCCTTGCTGGTGCTCAGGGTAAAAATAGAGGCGACCGCTTGGAACGGCTTGGCCCTGACTCCAGGCATCCCGCGAGCTGGGCTCGAGCCGCGGCCGCGTTCCGGCGTGATCTCTGGGAGCTGCCAGCAGGTGTTGCTCAAGGTACAGTAGCAGGGCCGAGGAGCCGGGACCCGAAGGGCCTGGGGGTGGGGACGCTCGGGGGGGAGGGGGCAGGAAGTGAAAGAGAAACCAAACCGAGCAAGGAAAAAGAGATCGTTGTCAGGAGCTGGGCAGACCAGCTCGGCCCTGGGCCCTGGAGTTCGCTGGGAAGAGCTCATTCCCAGTCCAGAATATTCCGCAGGAGCTATTTTCACCTGCCTGCGCCCTCCACCTCCCCCACTTGACTTCCCCTGAGTGAGGAGGCATCTGCACTGTGGTTCAGCTCAGAGCCTGGGGATGCAGGCAGAGCATGAGCTCAGAGCTGCTTAGGTAGGAGCTGGCAGGTGGGCACTGGGCTGGCAGCAGATGGCCATCGGGGCCTCCGAGTCACATGTGTGGGGAGCCCCTCTAGTCTGGGTGCTGCACAAATTCCTGTGGCACAGAGGTTTCAAAAAAGCCTCCAGGCTTCTCGGATTTTCTGCTCTTGACCCTGCAGGTTAGTAGTAGCGATCCCATTTCGTGGATGGGAATAGTGAGGCCTGAGCTTACGTGACACAGTGGAGCCAGGGTCTGATCTGGGTTTGCTTTGTGCCCTCACCACACCACTTTAAGGAAGGCGATGATCCTGCGGGCAGGACACCAGGGCTCCCGCATTCACAGGTCCTGAAGGCCATTGCTCTTCGCCAGTTCTCCTCCAGGAGGGCAGGGGGAGCGCCTTTCTTAGAAGCAGTGCAATTCTAAACCGGGGGGCAGGCGTGGAGTGCACCCTCACTGATCCTATTTCTGTCTTTGCACTCAGATTCCCTCTCTTCCTCCTCGACCTCCTGATTTCATTTCCTACTTCACTTCTGCATATGCAGTTCTTAGAATACTCCTCTTCCCTCGCAGTTCAGCACCCACACTTTTCTCTGTACCAAGCCAGGAGAGACCCTCTCTTACATAGAAAACTGCTGGTGTGCTGGAGGAACCTGCTGGACCACACAGCAGGAGGCCAGAGCCTCTATATTTTGCTTGTGGGCAGAGTGAAAAGTTTATTTTATGCATGTTAAATCCTGCGTACAAAACAACATATCTGGTCATGTGGCTTTCATTAGCTCCCAATTTTGCACATTTTATCCAACTTGTCACGAGACCCTAGCTTATGCTTCGCGAGTCTCCCTCAGACAGCTCATCTCCGCCACTCCTGTCTGAGGGTCCCTTCTGCCTGTCTCATTTCCCAGACCTGCCAGCCACGCCCCCCTCCCCAAAACCAACTAACCGATCAGCCAACCAAACTAACCTGACCGACTTCACCCCTATTTCAAGGCGAGTTCACTCCTTTATTATTATTATTATTAATAATCTCAAGTAATATTTGTGACAATCTGGAAATCATAGGACTTGAAGTTTTCTTAAGCAAGAATGATGCGTGAGGTTCTGTGTTTTTGTTTTGCTCGTTTACATGGGATTTGGAAGACTTGGGAAGTTTGCTAACCAAGTTCAGCAGAGAATAACTGTTTCTGAAGTTCTGGGTGCTAAATGATTTATGAAGAAGGCATTCAATTGCAAGATGTTAAGATAATAGTATAAGTTAGGGAGGGGAGACCATCATCATATGGGTATATGCATTTTCTTGTTTTTTTTTTTTTTCCTCTTCAGTGAAATAGCTTATTTAAAAATAACACCAAATTAGAATCCCTATAAGGAACACTATGAAATTTCTTCCCTGTAAGAAACAATAGAATACTGTGTAAATAGAGGCAACTTGACGAAGTAACAGAGGTTTTATGTGAAGACATAAAACTGAACCTGACTATAATGAGTCGTGTGTTCGAGTAGTAGAAGAAGTTGAACACTCATGAGAAGCATCTGTCTAATTCCAGTGTTTTTGTAGAAGGTAGACTAGTCACAGCCAGAGGTTTCAGTGGCTCAGTGCATCACCCAGTAGTGGCTGAGAAGCCAAGAGGGATTTCCATTAGATAATGAATTATGAAATGTCTCACACTGGAAAAACCAGTCATCCGCTGATGTCATGCTGATTCTAACCAATCCCAAACAAAGCCCCAGCCCTCCTCTGTTTGAGTGGTACCAATGTACGAATGTACAAATAAGTAGTACAGTATAAAACTTCACAGTGCCAACACCATGAAGAGGAGCTCAGGCGGCCCTCACCACATGATACAAGAGCCGGCTGGGGACAGAGAGGGGACCGGAAAGGTAATGCTTTTTAACTCTTCCTTATAAGCGCTTTACACACTCAAAGTCAGAATGGCTAGAAGGAATTTTACAACTGGCACTTCCATGGCATTGTGATTTGTATCTTTTTATATTGTTCAGGCAGGTTAATACAGCTTTTAATGGTCCTAGAGCATGCAAATAGATTATGTGTTTATACAGTCCACTCAGCACATACATACAAGTACATATGCCAGGGAGAAGGTTATTTTGAAGAGTTACATTGGCAAACAGTAACTTCAGGGAACACACACATACACACACACTCAAGCAGACAGAATCCAAAGATTGATAAGTTGCACTTACCTAAATGCTACTCTTAGGTCTTTTGAGTTGTTTGGAGCCATTCAACTTTTAGCTCTATTTCGGACTCTCTTGTAAAACTTAATGGCACTGCAAAATGCTTTGGGTACCGTGTCTGTGACTACACATAGGTGGGTGATGTTAAGTATTATAGTACAGCGAGATTTATGAAACCATTTTAACAACTGCCCCTACTCTCCTGTCCCCTCTCACCACCCCCCACTGGGAAGAAAAGGTGGCTTTTCAGGCAATGTGGACAAAGTTTTAACAATAAGAGCAAAGTAATGGATGTTTCTGGAGCCCCAACCCCAAAGGTGTTGAATGGCTTGCCACAGAGACTCCTTTTGGAAAAGGGGGCAGTGTGGACAATTCAGAAGAGCGTTGCTACCTCTGCAAGCTGTGATTTTAACTCAGTGACAGCTTTTTCTCCCTCTTTACACTCAGATCTTAGACTTGTAGTGAAGGTGCTCATTAACTCTTTCTGCTCCAAACCGCCTGGCTTAACTAGAATGCTGCGAACACACGGGGTGTCAGATAAAAGCTGACAGTACCCCCAGAAACCACGAGGGCTTCTGTGTGGCAAAGCAGCAGAAAGGGAAGGGAAGCTTTAACAGATGGACCCCTTAAAGATACTTCTGCGAGATAAAAGCAATAAGACGGAAAATGAAAAAGGGGAGGGGGAGGAGGGAAGGAGACTTTTTTAAAAAAGCCTCGGAAAGGCATTGTTTAAGAAGTCACATTTTTCCTTTGCTGTGAACACTAAAATCCACGATGATTTCATCTGTGCTGTTCCTCTGAGGGAAAGAGCAGCCCTGGAGGAGGCTGTCCGTGCACGCGCTGGTCGGGACGGGCTGGGGGCAAGCTGAGCAAACGACCACGTGACAGAGAAAAACAATTTGCCAATATATTTCGGGGATTCTGTTCCCCTCGGGCCAGTTAGTCAAGTCAGAGGAGTGCGCTCCCTTTGTAAGAGAATGTGGGAAAGGCCAAAGGCATCTCGCGTTTTCCCGGTGCAGTCGGGACGCAGCGGTAGCTGCAGGCGCGCGCCCGAGTGCGTGCAGGGCACCGGCGGGCGGCGGAAGCGGGGCGCGGGGGAGCCCCTCAGGTGGCCCCGGCGGGCGCGCCGCGCGGAGCCCTCCCGCACAGCGCCGCCGGCGACGCACGGCCGCTCCTCCGGCCCGAAACGCAAGTTCCGCGGGCAGAGCCTCGGGTCGCCCGCCCGCGGGGCCGACCCCGAGCACTTCCGCAGGAATGAATGGGAGCGGGGAAGGTCTCCCCCGCACTGCCCGGGGCCCCGCCGTCCAGGGCCGCGGGCGCTCCTTCGCCCCGGGCCCCTGTCCCCGCGACCTCCGCCACCTGTCAGCCGGACCTCCCGGCTGCCTCAGCCCCACCTGACCGCCAGGTGGGCGTGTGGTCGCCCAGGGCTGCGGCGAGGTCGGGGTGGGGGGAGGGCGCCCGGGGGCGTGGGGGGGGCGCTACTTGAATGGAGCCCTCCCAGGGGATGGACACCGTGCGTTTTTTTTTTTTTTTCTTCCTCCCTCCAAAAAAGGAAGAAGGCGAGGCCAGGGCATTGGGGCAGACAAAGAGAGAAAAACCAAAAGTGAACAAAATTAGGGGGATTTGTTTCAGAAGGGAAAGTAGGAGCCCGAGGAGGGTGCTGTTTGCAGAGAGGTGTGTGAGAGAGCTGGGAGCAGAAGCGAAGCAGCCTGCCAGGGAAGGCAGCCCCTCCCTCCCTAATCACAGCCTCTACTCACGGGCTCCCTCCCTCTCCCATTCACTCACTCACTTAGGGCCAATCCGTTCTCTCTCTCTCTCTCCCTCTCTCTCACTCTCCCTCTCTCTGCCTCCCTCCCTCCCTCTCTCCCTCCCTCACTCTCTCTGTCTCCCTCTCCCTTCCCCCTTCTCTCCCTCTCTCTTCTCACCCCCTCTCTCCTCTCTCCCTGTCTCTCTCTCCCTCCCATCCTCTCTCTGTCTCTGTCTCCCCCCCCACCCCGTGTCTCCCTCCCTCTCTCTCTCCCTCCCTCCCTCCCTCCCTCTTTCCTTCTCTCTTACTCGGAGACACTCAGAACTCTCCTCCCTGACAGCCACAAACCTACGGCACTGACTGCATTCAGAGAGGGAACCTGCAAACAAAACTTCACAGAAAACTTTTTGTTCTTGTTCCAGAAAATTTGCTGAAGAGGAGAAAGAGAAAAAAAAAAAAAGGAAAAAAAAAAAAAGCACACCACCACCACTACCAAAAAAAAAAAAAAAAAAAAAAAAAAAAAAACCTGTGCGAGAGGGGGGAGGAAACGCAGGGCCTTTAAAAAAGGCAATCACAACAACTTTGGCTGCCAGGATGCCCTTGCTCTGGCTCCGAGGATTCCTGTTGGCAAGTTGCTGGATTATAGGGAGGAGTTCCCCCACGCCAGGAGCCGAGGGGCACAGCGCGGCCCCCGACTGCCCGTCCTGCGCGCTGGCCGCCCTGCCCAAGGATGGACCCAACTCGCAGCCAGAGATGGTGGAGGCGGTCAAGAAGCACATCCTAAACATGCTGCACTTGAAGAAGAGGCCCGAGGTCACGCAGCCAGTGCCCAAGGCGGCGCTTCTGAACGCCATCCGAAAGCTTCACGTCGGCAAGGTGGGGGAGAACGGCTTCGTGGAGATCGAAGACGACATCGGGAGGAGGGCAGAACTGAATGAGCTGATGGAGCAGACCTCGGAGATCATCACGTTCGCCGAGTCAGGTGGGTGCTGGCATCGCGGGGCGCGCGGGCTCCGGCTCCCACCGTCCCGGGAGGAACTTGGCGCCCTCCGGCTGCGAGCGGCTCCCGGTGTTCAGGCGCCGGCAGCGGCCGGAGGGGAGGCCGGGGACCCGGGCCGGAGGACTTCTCAGAGGGGCGGCTCCGGGCTGCGCGGCTGGCGCTCGCGCAACTCCGCCGGGCACGCGGGGCGGACGCTCTTGGGCCGGTCTGTCGCTGGAGGCCGCTCTGAGAGGGGCGCGGGTCCCGCTGGCCAGACGAGAGCCCGGGGCAGGTTTGGGGGCTCGCGGAGCAAGGAGGCTTCCGGACCCCAGCCGAAGTTCGTGATGGGGGAGGGGGTGAGCGTGCCCCGGCACGGATGAAGTCATTGTCTTAAGCAAACCCTTTCTCCTTTAAAAGTCCCATCTGGGTCCACATCAGAGAGGCAGGGCGTGTTCGTCAGTGACAGTCACTTTTTATGTTTAGAAACTCCCTCTGTAAGCGCACGGGCAGCAGAAACCCAGTTCTGGGGGGCAGTGGACTCTGAACCGGCGGTCAATTTTGGAGTACTGACTTTTGCTCTCTGAACTCCCAAAATAAATAAAATAAAAAGAACCACCACCACCACCCCCCAACACACACACCAAAAAAAAAAAAAAAAAAAAAGTAAAAGTTTGTTCTCTCTGAAGTTACCAGGAGCTCTCTTGCCAAGGAATGCAACCTTGACAAAAGTGCTCTTAGCTACTACATTGAACTCTCACTCAGTCCTGAAGAGGAAGAACTTCAGTAACTAGATTCTAATCATTGGCCCGGGACCACACTAACCTGTTGCTGAATGGAAAATACCTGTGAGAAGTATGGGCCATGAACTTGGAGCCAGGCTCAGGTTCTTTTTACAGTTGTGGGATGCACATCCCTCTGCATGCCTACAAGCCCACGCCTGCCAGGCACACATGCTGGGCACACAGATGTGTTAATACTGTGTTACTTTCATGGTAATGCCAGGCTAAAGAATCCCTTGCCAAATCTATTTGAAAGGAATGCCATTGTTTTGTTTGGTAGAGCATATGGCCAGTAAAGTATGTGCAGGGACTCCCAGCATTTTGTTTAAAAGTTTGCTGCAGCAGTATAAACAATTAAGGCAACACTCAGAATTTCCAATCCTGAAAACCTGTTGACTCACATGTTCTGTTTTCAAGAAAGCCATGTGCGACCTGGGCACCCCTTTGGGGGAGCAGAGAGCCTAGCAGCTTCTGGCTTCCCCCTTAAGCAAAAGCCGCTGGGTGTTCCACAGGCTTCTTGGGCAACTGAGCTCCTAGCCCCAGAAGTCTGTCTCATTTAGGGAATGTTCCACTTTCTTTCTTGAAAGTTCTTTCTTGGTGCAGCCCCCAGAGGTGAGATCCTTAGGGCTTTATTTTTTTCTGAAGCGTATAGAGGAAATAAGTCAGATTGGAGTCTCCAAGTTGCCACCCAATTTTTCTTCAACCTTTCATTGAGGAGAAGTAGAAGAGAAATGCTCCCACCATCGCGTCCTACGTAGGAGAGGGATCCCAGTTGTCTGGAGTGCTGCTGTGTAGTTGGTGCGGAAGGAGCCAGCGCTTCTGTGTGTCAGCTTGCCCACCTGATGGCCTCAACCACACCTCTTACTCTATTTACTTGAACCGCATCCTATAACTGAATATACCCGTGTCTCTGACCACCGCTAACCCCACCACTGATGCTAGCAATACGTCCCTTTTTCCTGACTTACTGTACTTGCGTAGCAAATCATTCTCTTGGAATTTAGCGATTTGGCAGGGAAAGAATTCGACCATTGACATCCTTTCTTATGGCCTTCATCTCAGTGCTGATCTCCGTCAGTTATGTGGGCTCTTGTCATCTTTGACTTCTCTGGTAGGTGTTTAGTTTGAAAGAAAAGAGCTACTTTTGGGGAGGGCATTTCATTGGGTTTACAGACTGACTGAAGTTTAAGGTATGTAATGGGAAACGCCTCCTGGTTGAGTTTGCAACTCTGAGTTCTTAGAAGAGGTTTGTTATAACAGCTCATTTTTCTCTTCTGAGAAGTTTCACCCATTAACCTCGAATCGATTTAATATAATTTTACAGATTTAACGATTGCATTTATGGACAATGAGCTCTCTAAGTAGAGTACCATGCAAGCATTTCGCTGCTGATTTTGCTCACAGGAAAGCTATTTATCATCTGCATAATTGTGGCGAATATAGGAAAATGAATAGCAAAGATCGATGTCTTGTTGCTTTTGGAATAATTCAACTTTCATAACATCTCAACTATGTGGAACGTCAAGACTCTGGGAGAACAGAAAAGGGCATGCCTTTTTCTTTTCTTATAAACTTTTGTACAGCATGGAATCAAGTCATTAGTGTCACCCATGAACGTCCCATAAATTCACACCCTTAGGTGCACCTTTCAACCTCAAGATTTCTCAGTTTGGGGACAGGTGTTTAATTTTTGCCTTTCCTCCAATTGTTCACAGTCACAGCAGTAGAGGGACTACAAAAATGAAGGTGCCTTGCATTGAGCTTTTCTAGCTGTGTTTAGGTACAAAGTGCCCATCTTTATTATCAGACTGATGTTAATTGTTTTGGTAGCACCAATGGGAAATCACTTTAAAACATTTTGCAATGTATTCCAGCACATGTAAGGGACTTCCTTTCTCTGTATGTCACCCCAAATTGCTCCACACAATTAGTGTGTTCTTAGCGTTTACCTCAAGGCCTTAACTAGGTATCTTCTCTTCAAGAAAAACACTGTGGGGAAGGTAAAGCCTAGAGGTAAAAGTCATTGGCTTTGCAGTTGGTATATTTTATTGTACTTTGATTCTCGCCAGTAGCTGGTCAGCTAGCATCCAGCCATACACACTGTTAAGTCTCTGTCCTCTGCAAGACCTAGATGCTGGTTATGTGGTAATTTAACTCTGAAATTGATAGCACTTGTAGGATGGATAGGGAAAGATAAACACAACACCAAGCACTGGTTAATGCTCACATAGCCTGGAGAATTCCATTTCCAGCAGATTGTGGAGTTAGAAATGTACACTCTCAGACAGGGATCTAAGGAGGCTGGCATGGGAACTTTCCCCTCCCCCAGGAAGCCATCTCAAAGTGGAGTTGACTCTGAGCGCCCCCTGCCCGGAACTTCCCTGTGAACTACCCTCACTGGCCCTCCCTGCACCTTGAGGGGTTGCACACTTTCTTCTCGGACTAACTAGAAAGGATCGACCACAAGAGGGCGCATTCCAAAGACTTTTTGCTCCTTGTCAATCTAGGCAAAGGCCATTGCGCCTACTGGAAACCCCTTTCTGTAGCTCCTTAATCCTGGTGATTATCAGTTATCTCCTGCTCCTCCAGCTGAAGTTAAGACTTTATGGGATGGGAGACACACAGCTACCTGTAATACATTAAATGAGACAGAAGCAGAGGAAGTGGGAATTCTGGTGATGCATGTGAGCATTCCAGAGCTCCATGGAAGGCAGAGGAGTGATAAATTTCAAAAGCAAACAAAGCCGAGCATGGAGAAATGTGACCATGAATCATCAGCGATACTGATTTGCTCACGAATCTCTCCCTAATACGGTTGCCTGGGTTTATAAAAGCCATCTTCCATCTCCCCTGATTTCGTGTCCTACTTTGCCTGCCTTATCAATGCTTTTCAGCAGCAACAAATGACAAGGGACTTCGAACAGGGAGGGGAAAAAAGGCTATTTATTGAACGCCTTGTGGGAACATGGTGTTCGGCTTCTGAGGATGCCTTTCTTTCTGAACTGAGGGTGTGGAGAGAACTGGTGAGGAAAAGATGTGGAAAGAGATTAATCGTGGTTTGCGGCCTGTGAAGGAGGCGGACTGGGGTGGGGGTGGGGGTGGGGGAGTGGGGAGAAGCCAGGGTGGAGATTCAGATTTTGCATTTGGAGAACTGGAGTAATACCATCTCCGGCACTTTTAGTGAAAACACGTATTTGATTTGGCTTCTCTCCTGCTAAAAAATACATGAGCATGATCTTTCAACTGTAGCTCAGATTCTTCGTACTTCGCTGGTTCCTAGGTCCAAAATCAAAAGTGTAAAAGTTCTCAGGAACTTTGGAAGAAGTCCCTGAAATTCTGTGAGTTGAATCTTAAGAACTTTCCCCCTTCTCCTAGGAACCTAAAACCCCTTTCTCCTTAACTGTTTAACCTTCTTTTTCATCACCATTTAAATGCAAGACGCATGGGTGCTGAATGTTTGTGACTGAGCATTTACAATTCAGTAATGGATCTTAAGGAGAGCTGTCAGGGCTAAAAAGGTAATCAACATAATTTATGATCGAATCCCTACTTGCAGGGGCAAAGTCCTCCAGTGTGGGTCAAAGGAGGAACAACCTCCAAGACCTCACTTGCTGCCTTCTGCAGAACCCCCTGGAAGCTGTCCAGATGCAAAGTTGGGTGCTTCAGAGAACACACACGCTGTCAATAGCAGCTCTATGTCACTACCACTGACTATGCCATATCCAGACACACTGAGACCGTGGTGAAGAATGGAAAATTAAAGTCACAGCCGCCTTTTTACTGCAAAGCTTTGCCCCCCCCCCCCGGGGGGGTTTAAATACTCTCTGTAAACAACAAGGCTTTCCACAATATCGTTAGAGACATAATTATTACCCATGTGCAAAAGGGCAGCATACTTGAAGCCGGACCCTGGTGAGGAAAACCAAACCAAACCAAACCAAACCAAACCAAACCAAACCAAACCAAACCATACTGAAACACTGCATGTGTGTGTTGCTGTCATCTGCCCACACATCCGAGATGCTGAACTTCAGGCTGCGTAGTATTTTGCATCCTAATGTAAGAGAGGGGAAGGACAAGGCGCATGGCTGCTTAACCCTTGGTGCGCTTCCATGATTGATTTATTTGAAACATTTGGAGTATTTTGAAAGCAAAGGAAAATGCACTGAAATACCCTTTCAGGTGTCTGCTCCCAGCTTACAGCGGCTTCCCTCCCATTAGGCAGCATTTCAGAGGTATTCCCCTGCAAGGTAGAACATTTATCCCTACCCGTTTTTCTGCACCTTTTTTCTCACCCTTTAGTATGTGTCCATCAAGCTCAGAGGGGCTTAAATGATGAAATAATATCACCCACATGGGCTTGCGTGGGACTTTCTTAGTGAATTAGTCAGGCAGAGCAGGCTGTGTGATACAAGCTTTGCTCACCAGCCTCGGGAGGGGAAAAAATAGCACAGAGGAAGAAAGGAATATTAGGAGAGAGAGTAGGTAATGAAAGGTTAGCAAATCAGCCAGCTCTAGCTGGTTAGCTAGGCTGTAGTGTAGGAACCCAGAACACACCTGTACAAACTAATGCTTTACCTGCTCAGGAAGCATTATGGGAAGGCTTCCATTTCAGGATTTTACAGCACAAACTATGTAAAGCAAACCTGAAACATTAGAAATCGATCCTAAACGTCTCAGCCTCAGGCAGCCTTTTCCCATTTTTTTTTTTTTTCAATTTGTTATGCAGAGAGATTTGCAGCTTGGGGCATGGCATGCTGAAAGTGCTACTGCAGTAAAGCAGTCTCTTGTAGGTAACATAGAGATAAAGAGAACAGCATCACTCGACTGGTTAGCTGTTCTGTTTTTTCATACCTAAGACATTTGGGGCTTATATTTCTGAAACCTTCAGCCCTGATGAACATGAATTCCGTGTCAGCTTCAGCCGACTCGCTAGCCCCACCCCCTTCTGCAATGAAAGCTAATGTAATAGAACAAAAAATATGCACTGCTTTTTAAGTCAGAAAACAATAGAACTTGTAAAATGTACCTGCATGTGAGGTGGACATGAGGAAGACTTGATTCTCTCTCGTCCCCCTGTTCCTGAGCATTATGGCAACCGCATTTTCAGGAAATTGGATCTCAGTTTTATTTTTTTTCCTGATAAAATATCATGCAATGTACAAATAGCAGTTCCAGAAATGGACACCAGGAGAAGGAGGCGACAGGCATGTCAATTAGTAGGGGGAAAATCCAAATGTCAGAAATATGGGGGAGAGAGAAAGCACGCAGGCAGTGGATGCAAATACAGGCAAGGGCGTCTTTCAGCTCAGATCATTAAACTGATGCATAAATCAGTGCTCGTGCCTCCCCACAACACGCAGGCGATGCCATCCAGTTAATTATCAGCCAAGACCAGCATGAAAGTCATTTTATGATGACTCTCTGATCCTAATATAACAGCACCTGACAGATTGAGCCCCCTCTAATGAGCACTCTCTTTGTACAATCCTCTCTCAGGAACACTAAATCATTTGCTTCCAAGTACAGCTGCCTGTGAAGAAGGGGTGGGGCTCTATGGTGCCTTAGAAACCTGCTCTTGTGAAATGAGGGGCTGTCCTGTGGACTGTGTGACTGAAAGCCAGTGGCCTCGGCCTCCCTGGCCCTACAAAAGCAATTTGCATGCGGCTGTCACTTGTTCTGGTCCCGGCAATTAACTCTCTCTTTCCCTCCACCCCCGGGGCATCTGTAGATGTCTGTGGACTTGATTCATGGACAGTCCAAGGCAGGCGGGTCAACACCGCCATCCATCTGCCTTCATCCTCAACCCCTCGTGTCCAGCGTGGATGAGCGCAAAGGAGCCCTGTGAGGATGGGTTACCTGACACCCAGGGAGTCTTCCCATCTGGGGCACTGTCAGATGCTTTGGTTTCACACACTCTTTCCTAGAAAAACAAAACACAACCTCATGCCCTCTGGCTTCTCTAATTTAGCAGCTACTGTCTCTCTGCCTTCAGAGTGACACCCTGTGCCGGTTAGGGTTTCAGAGGCTGGCCTGCCTAGAGACAGAAGGGGAAACAGCAGGTAGCTTGTTAACAGGCTCCACGGGGCAGGGCGGGGTGCCCACGCAGGGGCCGGGAGGGAGCCTGCAGCTCCTTGGGGCCGGTGCCCCAGGCTTGGGAGGTTCCCCCCAGCCTCTTCTTCTGCTTTTGCCAGGACCCTAGCACCTTAAAATCTGCTGCTGGTTGCCTTTTTGGATTTAAATAATTAAGCTGTGCTTCTTGGAATCTTCCCTTTTGCTTTCCTAAAAAACAAACAAACAAACAAAATCCACCAATTCATAGCAAAGGGGAATATAGAAGTCACGTTTCTTGGGGGAAAAAAAAGTCAGCCTGTTTCCTAAAATAAGCCAGCTTCCCCCTCTAAGTGCTGCCTGCTCTGGAGTCCTATCTAATCACAGGGCCAGCTTCATTATTCATTTCAACTCCTGCCAGAGACATGAGGTCAGAGGCAAAGGAACTCCCCTTACCACTGCCATCCTCATCATGGCAAGTTGATACAAAATGCCTGGGAACCTTTCATATCCATCTGCAGCCCTCCTTGGCCCCTGCCCCAGTGAATTTACCACTATCATAATCACAGTGTACAGAGTGTGTTAAATTAAGAACAGAATCTACAGTGCGCAATGCACAGAAAAGCGGCCGTCTGCTGCAGAGAACTTGAAACTGTGCCTAAAATTTATAGTACCGTAAACATCTCAGGGCCTGGAGTGATAAGTATGGCTGGATTTCCGTTAGCTATAGAAATCCAGGCAGGGAGATCCTCCTAGGGAGTGAGAGTTCTCAGATGAACTTGAAGATTGTTCCCAGATTCATACATGAAATGCATGCACAGCAGACAATTTTAAGTAGGTACATGGTCATGTACAGGGGGTCGTATTTTTATACACTGCCGTGTGGCAAAAATGGAATTGAGGGGAAATGTTTGATGAGTCAAAAAGCCCTGTTCTGATTACTTGCTTCTTATAGTAAACGTTCTTGCATGAATAAACGCTCAGGTGCTTATGAGAAGAGAAGGAAATAGATGAATTTCTAATTTTAGCATTAGGCTAGAACTGAATGATTGATGAATCCAGCTACCCTGACAGTGCAGGGATTTCCTGTAAATTAGCAGCAGTCGCTCTCTGAAGTATGCTGTTGGTGCTCAGTCAGCTGTATGCAAAAGGGACGGGGGCTAAAATATGTATTCAGAGGTAGACAACTTCCTGAATTTCATCAGCTCAGTGCTGAGGATGACTCCACTGGACAATAAATGGCGAGCTATTGTCTACTTTCTGCTCAGCACTAGACTATGACAATGAATGAGTCAGGAACTCACACACTGGGCATCCCAACCTACACGGGCAAGAGGGTGACAGTGGAGGAGATGTAAGAAGAGGCTTCTGGAAGAAGTGTCTGAGGCCTCACGGAGGGCACCGAGGGGGGTGTGTTGGGATGGGGCAGGTGTGCTCTGGATAGCAGGAACAACAGGTGTCACTGACTGCAGGTGAGAGACAGCTTTGGAAACGCCACATAGCCGGATCAGACGGAACAGGAGGCTGAGTGAGAGCTGGAGCTGAAGGCAGCAACGGTGCCCGTTGGCCATGGAGCCCAAAGAAGTCATTAAAGACTTCAAGAGGGAGTGGCCTGATCAGCTCCACCTTTGGGGAATGGTGCCTCCGGCTGCTCAGAAGAGGAGTGAATTGGAGAGAAGCTTGACTCAATGCAAGCAGAGGCAAGGCGACCTGGGGAAGAGGGGATAGGGACATAGGGAAAGATGGGGATGGGGAAGGGAGACTAGCTCAGGGTGCACCTGCACATGGGCATGCATGGACCCACACTGCTTAGTGGGGGCAGGCCTTTGGTGTTACCCCATGTGATCCTTCCAGACTGTGGGACGAAGGGTCGAATGTCGTGATGGTGTGTTCCCATTGTGTAGAAGATGAAGCTGAGATGGAGGATGCAGACCCCAGGCCTTCTGCATTCGAGAGCAAAGATTCCAAAAATGTGTTCTCATTAAGGGACAGAGAGCAAATATTTCAAGCTTTGGGGGCCAGCAGAGGGTGTCTGTAGCAGGTACCCAACTCCTTGCTGTGGTGCAGAGGCGGCTGTAGACAGCCTGTGAAAAATGAGCATCGCTCGCTTCCAAAAGAGCATTATTGACGGGCACTGATTTAGTTTCCAGACAATTTTCACGTGTCACCAAATACTGTTTTTCTTCAATCATTTAAAAAATGTGAAAACCAGTCTTAGCTGTAATTTGCTAACCCCTGTTCTAGATGGTCCGTTAAGGAACGACTGCTGCTCGCCTGCAGTCAGCGAGGAGACGCAAATACTGATGAATTAACCAGTGTCCCTCTGTTCTCTTGTGCTGTGTTTTGTCTTCAGGCACAGCCAGGAAGACGCTGCACTTTGAAATTTCCAAGGAGGGCAGTGACCTGTCTGTGGTGGAGCGGGCGGAGGTCTGGCTTTTCCTAAAGGTCCCCAAGGCCAACAGGACCAGGACCAAAGTCACCATCCGCCTCTTCCAACAGCAGAAGCACCCGCAGGGCCTCCTGGACACAGGAGATGAGGCCGAGGAGGTGGGCTTGAAGGGGGAGAGAAGCGAACTCTTGCTGTCGGAAAAGGTGGTGGATGCTCGCAAGAGCACCTGGCACATCTTCCCCGTCTCCAGCAGCATCCAGCGGCTGCTGGACCAGGGCAAGAGCTCCCTGGACGTGCGGATTGCCTGCGAGCAGTGCCAGGAGAGTGGTGCCAGCCTGGTGCTCCTGGGCAAGAGGAAGAAGAAGGAAGAGGAGGGGGAAGGGAAGAAGAAGGACGGAGGCGAAGGCGGGGCGGAGGAGGAGAAGGAGCAGTCGCACAGACCTTTCCTCATGCTGCAGGCCCGGCAGTCGGAAGACCACCCTCATCGCCGCCGCCGGCGAGGCTTGGAGTGTGACGGCAAGGTCAACATCTGCTGTAAGAAACAGTTCTTTGTCAGCTTCAAGGACATTGGCTGGAATGACTGGATCATCGCTCCCTCTGGCTATCACGCCAACTACTGCGAGGGCGAGTGCCCGAGCCACATAGCAGGCACGTCGGGCTCCTCGCTCTCCTTCCACTCGACAGTCATCAACCACTACCGCATGCGGGGTCACAGCCCCTTTGCCAACCTCAAATCGTGCTGTGTGCCCACCAAGCTGAGACCCATGTCCATGCTATACTACGACGATGGCCAGAACATCATCAAAAAAGACATTCAGAACATGATCGTGGAGGAGTGTGGCTGCTCATAGAGCTGCCCACCCTGGGGGAGGGGGAAGGGAGTGAGAGGTGTCCAGAAAAGACAGTGGCAAAATGAAGACATTTTTTTAAAGGTTTCTGAGTTAAACAACCAGAAAAAAAATAGAAATTAAAAAAAAAAAAAAAACTAACCTAAAAGCAAAACCTGATCTGATGAAACAGATGAAGGAAGATGTGGAAAAAAAAATCCTTAGCCAGGGCTCAGAGATGAAGCAGTGAAGGAGACAGGAATTGAGAGGGAAAGGGAGAATGGTGTACCCTTCATTTGTTCTGAAATGAAACTGATGATGCCAGTTGTAAATGGGGTATTGTCCTCTCCCCCCTTGCAGTTCTCTTGCGAGCCCCGAAGTCGACTTGTCTAGTCTGCAGTAATGGGGACTAACATGACCCAAATAGCATCTAGAAAGCCATGAGTTTGAAAGAGCCAGTCATAGGCACTTTCCCACCCAATTACCCAGGTCATAAGGTATGTCTGTGTGACCCGATCTCTGTGTCTATCAGCACGCACACACACACACACACACACACACTACATACTGGTAAAAGGACAATAGTGTGCAGGTGGTCACACTTTCTTTTTCTGCACCACTTTTACAACAAGACAAAACAAAACCAATATTAAAAAAATTGAGAACAGGAATGGGAAGAGTGAAAGATCAAGGGAAAAAGAATACCAAGTTACATTTCGTTAAGGTGCTTATGATCTTAGAACTATGCAACCTAATAGGTTTGAAACTGTTTACCTGAGAGAGAACAAAAAGAGAGACTTTTTTGTATTGGAAGTAACCTGATTAATTTTTATTTTCTTCAAGGAGAGATACTTGAAAGGAATATGTTTGTCCATCTGTTGGATCCAAACATTTCTATATTTTGTAAATGTTGTTTTTTTTTTATCGTTTACTATTTGCACTACAATGGTGTTTGACCTGTCTAATCCTTATTTAACAAGTATTTTCTTTGGGTGGGGGTGGGGGTGGGGTTTAAGAGCTGCACTTAATGTGAGCTATAAAAGAACTGCTACAGCACACAAAATAGCTATTTTTATTATTATAATTATAATTATTATTATTATTTTGTACCTTAAAAAATAGACACATACACCAAAGACATTTGTGTGAGCCTTTAAACAGTCTGTCTGTGGTTGGTACCATTCACCATTAACGAGTCAGGGGTTGAGGTTCAAGGTTGAGTAAGGTGGATTGTGTTTGGGCTTCAACGACCTGACAGGTTTGGTTTTTGACTCCTTTTGCATCCATGAAACAGGACATTTCATACTGGATGTACAGTAGTTGTACACTGTTGGATATCAAGTTCAAATTCATGAGACTACATGCTTGTATGTGTATATATACATTGCTTGTGCATATGCATATCTGTGTGTATATATACATGTCTTGTACCATGTCCTTACACATTTTAAGCACTTCAGGCTGTCATTTTTTAATGTTCTTAAAGCAATGAATGTTTGTGTGCAAAACACAGTATTTTTAAGAAGGATAGGCTATAGTTTTTGCTTTTACTCTGAACTCGGTGGGCACATTTCAAAAATTTGGATGGGAAAAAGGCTGGAACTTCCAGTGAATATTTAGTAAGGCCCTCTTTCAATGTACAGGGATCAAATTCCCTCCTCTTTCTTCTCCCCAACCCCTCTCCTCCCTACAAGTTATCCCCTGTGGGGAAGACAGAATGTTAATCAAAACTCTGGGCTGTTTTTTTTTTTTTTTTCCAACTTATATTTGTTGTCTATTGGAATCAATCTTAAATCAGAAGCATTTTGTTGTTGTTGTTTTGGGGGAAAAAAAAAAAATCTCATCCTTAGGCCAGAATAAGAGAGTTTATGATTCAGGCCTGGTTCTGAGAAATATTACCTGCACCAGCTGGGTTAAATGATACTGTTGTCACTATTTGAAAGATTGATAATTTGGGGGACGGTGTTAAGAGAATGGGAGTAAGGAAGAGAAAAGCTAGGAGTTAGGAAGAGGTGGGGATGAGGAGAGTATAAAAGCCTAATATTTAATTTACAGCCAAAACTCTTGATATGTAAGTTTGTATGTATTGATTCAGATGTAAAAAGGAAAAAATTTTTTATAAATATCAAAGTATATGCTTAAAGCTGAGTTTCTATCTAATTTATTCCAGTATTCCGCTTGCCTAGAACAGCTGATAAGTTATTCATTTATGTGCTTTTTAAAATATAGAGCCCTGTTTACTGACTTGTTTGAAGTTTGCCAACATTTTTAAATGTTGAACAAATATCTAATAATTGGGAAAAAACATTCATCAGTATTTTGTGAAATATTTATTGAAGCTTTAACTCTGTCAATTTGTAAGTTTAAAAAATAATCATAAAGAAATGAAAAATTAGTGAGAAACCAAATATTACAAAAGGCGGTTTAACTCTTCTTGATAAATACACTAAGTCAGTATAGCGTAACACTAGGCTGTATATAGGCAAATTACTTATCTCCATGCCAGGCAAAAAGACCATGTTCTAGAGGCCCACCCTTTCTTGTGCAGGAAATAGAACAGGAATTTCATGAGAAACTCAAGAATGGATTCTAATTGGGGTCCATCAAGTTTAGACACTCTGCATGTGGGAGAGTGGGTGTGGTGAGGAAAGGTTCAAGGACAGGAGTAGAGGGCCATGTTCAACTCCACAAATTTTCAGAAAGATGCTGAGGGCCTTTAGAGCGGCTTCTTCTTTGGTACTGGAATTGATACTGGAATCTGTGCAGATGGTGGGAGGAATACGTCCCAATTCACTGTGCAATCACACAGATGATCAAGGCCATGGTAAAAGCAGAAACTTACAAAGACAGTGATAGCTGTGTGGAATGCCCATTCATCTCAAGTACATCTGATATCTTTTTAAGCCCTTTAAGTTTGACACAAATCAGGGGTAAGGTGAGGGTTGATCAAAGACTATGGTAGTTAGAAGAATGAAATTTTGTACGACAGCATTTTAACTGGATATTAAGTAATCGAGTTATCACACACCAAGAAACCCTCACCTTGTTTCATTAAATCTACATGGCCTTGGAATAGAATTGTAAACTGCTACCATCTCTAATAATGTTGACAGAGACTGTCATCTTTAATAATCTCAGAATTTGAAAAGTCTAGTGAACATCCTGTCTTTTCATGTAACAACAGAAAGGTAAAAGGAAAAGCTTTTGGATTCTACCATGTTGGGTTCCTCATAGTACATTTTCCTGAGATGAGGATGGCTCCATCAGATCTTAATATTTCTCCACTCTTTGTCTAGGACTAATACCTACGCTCCTAAATATCTGCCCACACCAGTCTGAGAAGTTTTGAAAAGTATTTGTCCCAAATATCTTTTTTTGAATAAGTACTTTATAGATTGATTTAAAATTTTCAGCCCCCTACCCCCCAAGTAAGGTGAATTCTAGCACATTGACTCAAGATTTTCTTGTCCAGGAACATCAGCCAACTTCATATTTGTTTAAGATTGATTCCACACTCCATTTTTCAAGGAGAGTCCCTGCATTCTCCTCAAAGTAGAACAAGTACATTTTTTTTTAACCCTGGGGATTGAATTTCAAGAGGTGACTCTCAAAAATGCAGAGAACAAATATTTTTCAGTTGTGTGAAGCATAGATTCAAATGATCATGTTCACTTGAAAAAATGATTTCCTGTGGGGCCTCTTGACAAGTTCCCTTTTCAATGTAGAGAAAAACTTAGTCACCCTGAAAACCTACATAATAAATGAAACTTGTAGATGTGGGCAGAAGGTTTGGGGGTGGACGTTGTATGTGTTTAAATTAAATCCTGTATCAATGAGAAGCTATTGTATGGGTTAGAGAAAATGAATGCTTAGAAGCTGTTCACGTCTTGAAGAGCAGAAGCAAACCACATGTCTCAGCTATATTATTTATTTTTTATGCATAAAGTGAATCATTTCTTTTGTATTAATTTTCAGTGGGTTTTACCCTCTATTTAAATGCTTTGAAAAACAGTGCATTGACAATGGGTTGATATTTTTCTTTAAAAGAAAAATATAATTATGAAAGCCAAGATAATCTGAAGCCTGTTTTGTTTTAAAACTTTTTATGTTCTGTGGTTGATGTTGTTTGTTTGTTTTTATTTTTATTTTGTGGGTTTTTTTTTTTTTTGCATACTACATGCAGTTCTTTAACCAATGTCTGTTTGGCTAATGTAATTAAAGTTGTTAATTTATATGAGTGCATTTCAACTATGTCAATGGTTTCTTAATATTTATTGTGTAGAAGTACTGGTAATTTTTTATTTACAATATGTTTAAAGAGATAACAGTTTGATATGTTTTCATGTGTTTATAGCAGAAGTTATTTATTTCTATGGCATTCCAGCGGATATTTTGGTGTTTGCGAGGCATGCAGTCAATATTTTGTACAGTTAGTGGACAGTATTCAGCAACGCCTGATAGCTTCTTTGGCCTTATGTTAAATAAAAAGACCTGTTTGGGATGTATTTTTTTATTTTTATTTTTATTTTATGTCTTACTTAGGGATTGTCCAAGATCAACTTTGCACACACATCACCACATCCTTTGCTGGATGATGATTATCTCTACTGTAATTATCTGGAAGAGTATGAGAAACAGACTGAATATGGGAGAGGGGACAAAGGCTAGAGGGAGAGAGCTCATGTAGAGAAAGAGTACATATTGTCACCGCAGACGCTCCCAGTGAGCTCCCGATGCTTGGGCCAGCAGTATTTACATTTTATTCATTTTGTTAATTTCCCATTTCTGCAACTATAGTGGCAACTACTTCTAGAAATAAAGAGATATTCTTTCCTTCCTTCCCTCCATCCCTTCTTCTTTCTTTCTTCTCTTTGCTCTTCCTCTTTTCCTTTCTGGCTAGAAAACTGAAAATACACAAAACAGTTTAAACTTAATAACTATATGCATGGGAGAAAAACATACTTAGTCCATACTTAGTCTACTGGGACCAGTAGAATCAATTTAGAATCACAATAGTAAAGTAAGAAATTAATTGATCATTCTACCTTTTAGAAAGTAACTTTTATACATGTCCATATGGGCCAAGAATGCCCCTGTGCATCCCTTCATTTGATATTCACATCTCATCATTTTAATCACTTTGCACTGTTGGTTATCTTTGCTTTTAAAGATGAATCAGAGGAACAATTAAGTATTATTAATTGGAAGTAGGATTCCAGCCCAGGTCTACTACATTCAATTCTGAAGTTAATTTTCTTCTTCCATGATTCCTTTTCGTGTGTGTTAATTTCCAGTGTACTGAGAAAAAAACAATGAGATAGATTATTTAAGACTCTCAATTTTCTAACACATGTTTAATACTCACCACACAGTAAAATGACAATTCATGCAGATTCTTCCTAAATCCTTTTTGGTGTTGTTGTTAGGAAAGTTCTGACTTTTTTCAAATTGAAAGGGGAGATTTGCTAGAGTTTTGTTTTTCATTTACTGATTTTTCTTACTTTTCTATTTTTCTATTTTATTAAAGGAAACGTTGCTCCAAAGTACTTTACTTTATAGACTTGGTGGTATTTCTGCATATGTATACGTGTGTGCACATGTTAGCGTGTGCATGAGCCTGCCTTTTTGCCAGGATAAACAGTGAATGCATATTGGGAATTAAGTAAAAAAAAATCCCACTGAATTATAAATGAATAACATTGTTATGAAATTGTATGGCTATTATTTTAATCAGGGCAAAAATAACAAAGGAAGCAATGTTAAAGTTAAGTATAGGAAGGCACATTGAGTATGCATATGTGAGTATATCTGTGCATACAGGTATATATACACGTTTATGCATAAATAATATATATACAATAAATGTGTGTTTATTTGTATATGTGAGGGATCTTCAAAAGTTCATGTATCACGAACTGTGCATGGACTTCAAAAACATTTGCATCAGAATAAACTTATCTTTTATTTTATTTTTCCATGAACTTTTTGAAGTACTCGCATATACGCAGACATATAAAGAGAGGATGAGAGAGAATGTGTCATCATTGACATCTAAATCCATTTTATACAGAGGTTTAATCCTTTCCCAGAATACAACTGAGGAGATGTCTAAACTGACAAAAAGGAGGAGAGCAGTATAATGATTTGATGATTTTGTGCATCCAACAAGTGACACACCTTGAAAACAATTCTGGTGGTGTTTCTGCGCTGATCCAATTTGAGTTCTCTCTTTGGCCCATGTAAAGGCAGGCTCATCCGAAATTCTCCATTACACCCTTGCAGGCTTTCTTTAATTGTCATGTAATTAGAGTCTACAGTAAGAAAAATAGGAAAGGCAAATTGTTTCTCCAGAAGCAAAGAACCACAGGAGAGTTTCAAGACTTCTTAGAAATGGACAATGGCCTCACTTGAGGATGGCCAATTTCAGGAGGAGCCGAGGGGTTCCATAATGGCTTCAGAAGTTAAAACCGGGAGGTGGTTTTTGGAAATCCTAGGCAACTTACTGAATAGAAATGATGAGGACCTCTTTTACTTTTTAAAAGTTGATTTCCATCCCCCTGCCCAGGAAGCAATCAGAGAGGTTGTTGATGGAGAGAAGGCCCTATCACTATCAGAGAGGAGCCCTGAAAGAGCCCCCCAGCGACAGAACGAATCTGCAGTTGTAATTCTTAACTGTCTCAATGTGGTGGTCGTGCCTGCATCACTGTGATGTGGGGGACGCAATGTTCCAACACAAATACTATAATGTGGCAACAAAATACCCCACGGAATTCGCCTTTCATTAATGAAGACCTCTTTACACAGCTGAATACCACGGCCTGAGCTATTTGAAAGGCTTGATGCCCTCATGGGACCAAGGCAGTCATTAAGAGGAAACTCTTCCATTGTGAAAGAAAGAAAGAAAAAAAGAAAGAAAAGAAAAAAAAGACAAACATTGCTAATCTATGCCAGAAACAGGGAGGCCTAAGGCAGGAGGGTGACAAAGCCTTGTGCTTCAAAGTGTTTATTGTGCTGGAGCTTCCAACCACTTTGAAGAGAGTCATCAAACCCTTCTAAATGGAACCAGGGAGGCTTCTCTCCATTGATCTCAACAACAAATGTTTGTGTTTCATGGGCAATTTATTTGTCCTTCAAAGGCTCTAAACTGTCATTAAACAGGACATTTTTTAGAAAGATAAAATTAATTTTCCATCTGAGAAATCATATCCTAAACACCATCAACGTGTCAGTGGCTTGGGTCATTGAAATAGCATACATTATTATTATGCCAGATAGTACGGTGCTCACAGTTCTGGCATCAACTAACTCCTATGTTGTCAAAGTAGTGAGTTTAAAACAGTCTCTGTCAAATTATGGACTAGCCCGTAATTGCCATGAAGTTACTAACAGGCTCAGATTGAAAACAGATTAAATGGATAGGGCCCTTTTCTTCTGGGCTTTGGAAAGTGGATGTAGGCCATTATATGACAACCTTAGGAGCAGAGGAGTCAAGAGTTGTCTCTGAGCTTAATGCTGCCTGGTGGTTAGGACAGCTCTGTGATTCCTTTAAAGAGGAATGCACAGTAAATATTAGATGGCCCATCCGTATCTCCAGCCAGCAAGTGCCAACAGAAACAGAGAAACAAGACACACAATCCTTTCTTTCCTAAGATAGATAGTTTTCATCCGAGCGTCTGACTATTTCACTCCTGTACCCTGGCATCACAGGGGTGTGAGGGAGACTAGTGGATGAACTTATTTTTCTTTGGGCTTTAAACATTTCAAGTAACAGGAACTGTCATCTTAGTCCATTTTTCATTGATAAATTATGATGCTGACTGGGTCCATGCATCACTTGGAAGGTTGATTTTCAAAGTAATAATCCCAGAGTTGACAATATAGACATAAAGCACTAGAAATAAATTTGATGGACAGTAATAACTATTTTAAACATTACTCAGATCATCAAAAATGAGAGGGAAGTACATGAAATCCAAGGGCCGGGAGGACAGGACCAAGTGCTTCTCTTTCTGGCCTCAACTCTGACTTAGACTTGTCAAGGAGTAATACGATCAAGCATGGTCTGACCTCAAGGAATTAAAGTGCTTGTGATTTCTTGTCATTATTTACTTAAAGGAGAGTAGGTGCCAGAGAGAAGAACTTATTCTCTGATTTGCATCAAAAACAGCACCATGCATGCTATGTGGAAAATGGACCAACAGTTTTGGGAGCCACGGGAATTGGAACATTCACCAAGTGTTGACATTCACAAAGTGGCCTCTGGATATGGTGGCCATGTGATGCATCCGCATGAATATGGGGGCATACATGAGACACCTTGAGTTTTGCTAGACAGCACTGGCTAAAACTTGGGGATGGAGTATAGAGTTGAATAAGGTCTGCCCTTGAATAGGTGATACATGGGGGCCGGTGTTGTGGTGTAGTGAGTTAGGCTGCTACCTGTGACACCTGCATCCCATAAGGGTGTCAGTTCCTATCCAGGCTGCTCTACTTCTGATCCAGCTCCTTGATAATGGCCTAGGAAAAGCAGCAAAGGTGGCCCAGGAACTTGGGCCCCTGCAACCCATGCTGGAGACCTGGAAGAAGCTCCTGGCTTCTGGCTTCAGCCTGGCTAAGCCCTGGCCATTGCAGTCATCTGGGGCGATGAAGCAGAGAATGGAAGATCTCTCTTTGTCTCTCCCTCTGTCTCTGTAACTCTGATTTTCAAATAAATAAGTAAATCTTTTTTCTTTAAAAAAAAAAAAAAAAGAGAGGCGAGGCAAAAGCTAGTGAAATTTGCTCTATTTCGTGAAGTATACTGTGCTAGCTTTTCTAGATTTGCCAAGGTGGATGGGTCTGGATTTACATTAAAATCACAGGCAGTGACACAGAAAAGTGGTATATGTTCTCAAGAAATATTAGTTGAACTCAAATTCAAACAAATGACAAAAATATTTGGCTTACTAATGGAGATTTTTAATAACAACTTATTTTTGACAAATTGAAGTGAGGTCCAGGAAATACTATGTTTATGAATCACTTGAAGGAAGGACGTGGAAAAGGAAGAGGCAGACTTGGAGAAAGAGTTCCTCTGATAAAAAGGATGGCTGAGAGACTGCCTGCAGTATGTACAGGTATACCACATCTTTATTTAACGAGCTACTGCAATGGAATTATATGCTGGACACTGTTCCTACTCCTACATTTTCAAAAATGGAGCTTTGCCACCATTTTACAGGTAAGAAAACCAAGGCAGAGAGTAGTTAAATAACTTCTCCACGGTGTGTAAAATTGTTGAGGTTCAAACCTTTTGGCTTTCTGCCAAGAGCTCGATTGTTGTTCTTCCAGAATCCTGTTGATACCACTCAACTGCTTTCTTCTATTTCTGCATATGGTTTGCATATTTCTAGCTGATACAACCAACCACTTATCTAACTGGTAATCTGCAAGAGGAGTTATGGTGGTGAAGAAGAAAGAATGCTGGACCATAAGTCAGGAAATCCAAGCTTTACCCTGATTCAGTCTC